TTTAGGGCTTAGGGTTGGCAATGAACCCCCTACGTCAATGAGCCTCCAGCCAGGGGATGAGAGGGCCGCAGGACTGCCTCGTAGGGACCCCCCTCGTGGAGGGCAGCACTCAAAACAGCATGATGCAGATCCCAAAACAGAGTCACTGCCCAGCTGGAGCACATTTGTTGGGGAAACTCTCAGAGAAGTGCAGCCACGACACGTTCAATTCGTGTTGTACACTCCAACGCATCACACGTGAAAAGGCCACGTAGCTGTGACGCCGTCTGAGCAATACCTTTTCCATTGAACACTTCTCTAGAGTTTGCAAGCATCTATGCTCACAGAGCCTAAGCCCAGCGGCGAAGGGTAGCCCGAGTAGAGTGCCTTGTGACAGCCTCTGCACAAATTCGGTCAAGCTTTGTGAGTTCTCCGTGGTGCGTCAGCGATGTCAGCAGAGATTGCAAGTACAATAAGAGCAACAATAATACTAATAATAACAATAATCATAAAAATAAAGATGAGTAACAGTAGTTATATTAGGGTACTGTCTTGGATCCCTATTCCGATTTCGATTGCTCATCGCTTCAAGGATGCTCAAGGTCTTGCCCTTTCAGGGCTAGAAAAAAACTCCTGGCACAGCCTCAGGCGGCCAGGGGCACTTCAGGAGCTGAGCTCACAGCGCCGGAAAGCCCGGCACGAAAAAAGCACTGTCTGTCCCTCACCGGTTCACGTGATTCAGCAGGGCCTGCTGGAACTTCACGCTGTGGCCTTCCTCTTCATACTTCTGGACGAACTTGGGGCCGTCCTCGTCCCTGATGGCATAGTCTGGCTGCCTTTTTGGATTCAGGAGCTGAATTCCTGTGAGTCCAGGTGGCTTCATCCCGTGGCTCGCAAACCAAGCATCCAGAGTCTTCACATCCCACAAATAGACACAATGCTCCAGGAGCTTCTTCTTCTCCTCGTCGGTCATGTCTTCTCCGGCGGTGGGGTCGAAGGGAACTTCTGCTCTTGCCTGGTCCTCATCAAATTTCATGCACAGCTGGGTCACTCCATTTCTTACCATCCTCGGGCGCCTTCCATGCCACGTCCGAGAAGGCTAACATCGCCCCATTCAGCTGCTCCGGCATGCCGGAGATGTCGCCCTTGTCCACGGCAGGCTGGAGAAGGCCCTTGGCCTTTGCCTCGTCCCAAAAGCAGAGGCACATATCCATCTTGTCGGCCTTGTCGCTGTTGCCGAGCTTCTTCAAGGGATTCAGCTTTTTGGGCTTGGCTCCAGTCTCTGCCGCCTCAGCCGCCTCGACGACCCTCTTAAAGACCGCAATCATCTCTTTGGGCATGGTCGCTGCTGCCTTACAGAGTACACTCCCCCAAACTAACA